GGCCCCTTGAGCATTCATGCTCGCTACGCAAAAGAGTCGCATGCAGCTTACTTGTTTCCACGTTGACACCTCGAGCGGTCACACGTGATAGGTATTCACTCCATACTTCACATTGGTAGCGGAGCCGTGACGGCTCCCGCGCGCTGATGGCTGGACGCTCTCCCTCGCGAAGGGAAAACCCATCCTTCGCGGCAGCTGGACAAGCCAATGGCGCTGGCGGAAGCCGAGACCTGAAGGACAACTTCGTGCCGCGCTTCGAGAACACCACGACCTCCTACAAGGAGTGGCGGCGCCGGGTCCTTCTCTACGCCCGGAAGTTGGAAATCCAAGGTCGAAAGACCGAAGTGGCACTGAACGCGCTGTCGACCTTGGAAGGCTCCAGCTGGACTCAATGTGAAGACCTGGATTTGAAGGAGCTGGGGTCCGATGAAGGCCTCAACATTTTGTTGAAGCGCCTAGACCGCTAATGGTCCTACGACGACAAGGTCGAGATGCCGAACAACTTCGAGGCATTCTTCTTCAAGCTCAAGCGCCGACAGCACCAGACCCTCCTCGAGTACACCACTGAGTTCCACCAGGTGCTACGCCAGGTGACCAAGCACCAGGTCGACCTCCCCGAAGAGGTTACAGGATGGATGTTGCTCAAACGAGCAGGTCTGACACGTGAACAAGAGCAAATGGTGCAGACCCAGATTGGGTCGGTCCTGACCTTGGGCGCAATTGAACAATCCCTCTTCCTGTTGTTCGGACAGGATTACCACCAGATTCATGTTCCTCATCTCCTCCGCCGACAGCAGCAGCAACTTCGATGGAAGAAACCCCAAGGCATTCACATGGCCTGGGATGATGAAGCTGAAGAGTTCTTCGAGGCTGAGAAGTCCTACTACATGGACGCTGATGAGGAAGGCGACCTCCAGGAACCTGGCGAATGGTTTGAACCCGAACTCCCTGATGGTACATTTTATGAGGAGACCATCGACGACACCGAGAACATCTATGACACAGAGGAATTTGATGAGGTCTACTCCACCTACATTGATGCCAAGCAAAGGCTCAACCAACTTCGCCAAAGCCGAGGATTCAACCCAGTGGTGGCAGTTGTTGATCGCTCAAAACCCAAAGGGCTCGGCAAAAGGTGGAAAGACCAAGAACAAGTCCAAGGGCAAGAACATTGGTTCTAAAGGATCCTCAAAAAGGTCCAACTGGCAAGAACCGAACCAAGGCAGCTCTCACCTGCCTCCGATGTGGCAAAGCCGGACACTTTGCGGCCAACTGCCCATCCGTCCAGCAGACCGGCGGATCCTCTCCGAAGAGACGAATGATCGACCTCGAAGACCCCATGATCAGTATGGTCATGAACATCGAGCACAACCCCGACGACATGGATGAGGGCGAGGTCACTGCGGACGAGGACATCTTCTACGACGTCGAAGACGCCTATGTGGAAGGTGAAGTGTTGGTTCGAGCCGGAGGCTGGTTGACGAACGAGCCGGACACCTGCATTCAAGACCAAGGTGCAAGCTCATTCTTGATCGGCTCGGAGTACGCCTTGCGCTACATCAAGTGGCTTGAGATGATCGGCCATCCCATGGACGAGCTCACCTTCAAGAGATGCGACAAGTCCTTCAAGTTCGGAGGCGACGCCTCCGGCCACTCACGATGGATGGTTGAGCTCCCGGTCAAGATTTCTGGCCATCCTGGGTGCATCCAAGCCTGCATCATCTACGGGGCCACGCCCATGCTCTTCGACACACCTCTGTTGGAAGCACTTCAGGCCGAGATCAACTTCGGCGAGTCCAGGATGAGACTACTTCATCAAGAATGGCATGACCTCCCTCGTGGCAGACAGGGCATGCTTCTTCGCTTGGCAGCTGACGTCAAGCACCCCCGTGACTTCAAAGAGCCCGTCTTCGATTTCCGCTGTGAAGATGACCACGGCAGCGGAATCAGCCTACACGAGTTTCTTGATGACCTCAACGCCCACGAGCGCTACTTCGAGATGACCACCGAGGTCAAAACCTACTTCTCGCTCCACGACCATGAAGAGACCTTCGCCATTGTCGAGGAAGATGACCAATAGCCTCTTCTACCCGGCAAAGCTCGCAAGACCATCGAACAACTTCAGAAGACAATGTCCTGGATTGAAGCCCAACCCCAGGAGACAGAGAAGCACGTACAGCAGGAGATCCTCCATGCTCGTGACAGCGGACAACATCGCCGCCGCAAGCTGATCTGGGAAATTTATGCCGGTGAAGGCAAGATCACGAGCCTCCTGCGATCTCATGGCGACGTTGATGTCATGAGGTTCGGTCTGGAAGATGGTTGGGACTTCAACAAGGCCTCGCACAGGAAACAGTTGCTTCGATTGGCCGACGACTTGGAGCCGGACGAGATCTTCATGTCTCCCAAGTGCACCTTGTGGTCCAGGATGCAACAGATCAACGTCTCCAACGCTGAACAGGCCGCCGACTTGACTGAACGGCGTGAGATCGATGCCGAGACCCACCTCACCATGTGCAAGAAGCTCTACATGAAGCAAGTTCGACGAGGAGCACACGCCCACATCTCTCACAGGAGCACTTCGCAAGTTGGCCTCCAACCATGGGCATGAGGCAGCTCGGATCGCACAGCGACTTCATCGCAACCTTGGCCACCCACGGAAAGAAGTCTTGCTCCATGCCCTGAGGAGTCGGAACTGCAGCCCGAAAGTGCTGGCAGCTGTTCAGGATTTGGAATGTCCTTTCTGCGAGGTCCACTCCGTGAAGAAGGGCAACGCACCAGGACACCTTGATCGACCCACAGAGTTCAACAGCTAACTTCAAGCCGATATCCTCTGGCTTGACCTGGACGAGGTTGGCATGGTAATCGAACCTGGTCGCAAGAAGAACAAAACCCGCAAGATCGCCATCTTGGTCATGGTTGATGTCGCCACCCGCTTTATGGCAGCTCGCACCGTCATGGACGAAAAGGGCCCATCTCTACAGAAAGCTTTGGAAAGAGCCTGGATCCAACATCATGGACCTCCAAAGCAGCTTTATGTGGATGAAGGTACTGGTTGGGCTTCTGACTCTATAATGCAGTGGTGCGAGTCCAACGGCATCGAGATCCGCATCTCACCTGGTCAAGCTCACACCAGGACATCCACAGTGGAACGACGACACCAGATTGTGCGCAAAGCAGTTTCAATCTTCATGATGGAGAACAACCTCACAGGTTTGGATGGCGTGCACAACGCACTATCTTGGGTGGTTCCAGCTCTCAACAACAACAGCTTTGTCAATGGCTTCACGCCCACTCAACTCGCTCTCGGTCGAGAACCTGCTCTTCCCGGACTATTGACGGATGAACGAACAGGTCCATTGCAGTTGCAACTCACCGAGCAGGAGAAATTGCATCGAAAGCTCAACCTCAAGTTCGCCGCACAGAGTGCTTGTGGCAAAGCTGAGATTGACGTGAAACTTCGCCGAGCTCTACTCCGACGCTTTACTGGCAAAGACGAGGAGCTTCTTCCAGGAGAACGATGCTACTATTGGCATGACGCTCCCGACAAGGCCCACATCATCCGCTGGAGAGGACCTGCGGTAGTGGTTGCTGTGGAACGCAACCCGGACTCAGGCACCGTCAGTGTCTACTGGCTCGCTCACGGCACTGTGCTCCTTCGTGCTGGAGTTCAACATGTCCGCAAGATGGTCAATGATGGCGGACAGATCGGAGCAGTGCAATGAGCTCAACAAGCCCTTGATGGCCTGAGACAAAGGAGATCCGTTCGCATCGTGGATTTGCGAAAGGCCAACAAGCGATCGATAGATGAGGTTGACCCTGAGGTCAGTGACTATGAGCCTTCGCTTCCAGATCCTCATCATCCCGCTCCGTTGACTATGTCCTCGCCTGCTCTACCTGACGGAATTCAACAAGCCTTCGACCGCTCAATGCAGGAGGCAGTTCAGTCGAGAGCAGAGGCATTGCCAGCAGCAGAACCTCCAGAAGCAGAACCTCCGGATGCTCAATCAGAGCCACCGCAGCTGGAACCTCAATTGGAGGAACGTCAACCCCATGAACGACATCCAGAACTTCCTGAACTGGATGATGATGATGACTTTGAGGAGCCTATGGGTGAACCTTCTCACCTCCAAACTCCAATGGCCAGGGCGGATCAACAAGACCCACGTCCCGATCCAGCAGATCTTCCTGTACCTGAAGATGATGATCTGAACTCTCCAAAGGCTGAACCAGCCGATGTGCCCGCACCTGAGGCATCATCTTCATCAGGTCCTATGACCGTTGATCCTCTCTACGCACCACCAGCTCATGAATCCTTTCAAGATCGACGCCGTCGCTTCGATCAGCAAGAGACGATCTGGACTCGTAAGAAAGCCCGGACAGATGATGGTGATGTGGACCTCAACCTCAACAGCTTTGACTTCAACAAGTCCACACCTCTCCCGTCCGGATGGCACTATGATGAGAAGACCCACGAGTTCACCCTCGGCAAGACCGAAGACTGGTGGAGCTATGAGGACGGCTTTTTGGTCAGAAACCATGTTTGGGGAAGAAAGTCAACCTACAAGCCGGAGACCTTTCCCATTGACCCCTCCTACCTAAAAACAACCACCGGCCTGACACTTCAGCAAGGTTCACGGACTATCTATGTCAACTCCAAGGAGCAGCAGCACTTTAGCGAAGCTTGGACAGGCAAGACCTTGTACCCCCTCACCGTCAGTGGTGCAGAGAAGACTGGTCTATATTACATCGGCGACCTCTCCGACAAGCTCAGCCGCTGCAAGACGCTCAGAGGCCGTGGACACATTTGGCAAGCAGTCGGCGCCGCTAGCCCCAAGAAGAAGAACGTCAAAGAGAGCGCAGACCTCAACGAGAAGAAAATGTCCCTGGAAGACCGTCTGACCTTCTTGGAGGGCAAGAAGAACGAGCTCTCCAGCATCTTCGAGAATGGAGTCTGGGAGATCGAACTCGATCCGTAATTTGTTGACCACAACAGGGTCATGCGCGCTCGCTTCGTTCTCAAGTGGGCAGCTGATGGGAAAGGTGGCCTCAAGGCCAAGGCAAGACTGGTTCTTCAGGGATTTGCTGATCCCGACCTGCTGCAAGGTCAACTCGACACTTCATCACCCACTTTGTCAAGGAGCTCTCGCCAGGTGATCATCGCCATCTCCGAGGTGCTTTCCTGGGAGCGCTGGACTGCCGACGTTGCAACGGCATTCCTTCAGGGTGATCCTCAGCAGAGGATCTTGTGGGCCCGGATCCCCAAAGACGCTTGCGAGTTGATCGGCGTTCCTCCGGGCACCCTCATGCGCCTGATCAAGCCCCTCTACGGACAGGCTGATGCTCCAAGGCAGTGGTTTGCAGTGGCGAGACGCCGTTTACTGTAGTTGGGATTCCAATCCCATCCTTTGGATCAGTGCCTCTACATGTTCTTCGATGAGAACAAGGCCTTGACAGCAATGGTTGGCATCCACGTTGATGATCTATTTGGCTGTGGCTTAGCTTCATCGCCAACGTACCAGCAGCTCACGGACAGCCTCAAAACCTCCTTCAACTTCAAGCACTGGACCAAGGAGGGAGAACGACCTTTAGAGTTCTGCGGCTGTCAGCTGGCACGAACGGCCACCGAGTCAATCTTGACGCAGGCAGACTACCTCAGAGGCATCAAGCCCATGACCTGCGCCGACAATGATCCTGAGCGAGATCTCAACTCTCGCGAGCAGAGCTCACTTCGAGCGCTACTTGGACCACTTCAATGGCCGGCAACTCAGACCTCACCACACCTATGCGCCTCAATGTCGCTTCTATGTGGAGAAGTCACTACATCCACGGTTGGTGTCGCCCAGCAAGCAAACAAGACCCTCCGCTTCGCCAAGAACAACAACGACGCTGGTCTGATCTTCAGATCATTGGGAGGTTCGCTGGACAACCTGTGCATGGTGGCGATAAGTGACGCCGCCTGGGGTGTGAGGAGAAACAATGAGAGCCAAGGAGGCTATTTGGTCCTTCTTTGCAACAAGGCCGTGCTCGATGACACCTCCGACCACGACTATATCATCCTGGATTGGAGGAGCTTCAAACTACCAAGGGTCAGCAGATCCTCGCTGAATGCTGTGAGTCAAGCTTGCTCAGCAGCCATGGACGCCTTGGAGTACCTCCTCATCTTCTGGGAAGGATGCTTGAAGCACGACTTCCAGCTTCGACAGGTCAACGAGCTGAAGCCCTCTCTCTCCTCAGCTCTGGTGGTAGACGCCAAAGCCCTCTACGACAGCCTCAAAGCCGAGACACCCAGTCTCCAAGGAGACAAGCGGACGAAGATCGAGGTCATGGTCACAAAGCAGAAGATGCTCTGCATGGACACGAAGCTGCGCTGGGTTAGCTCAGAGATCCAGCTAGCTGACGGAGTCACCAAATCCTCAGCAAGGCAGCTGTTCGCCGACCGGTTGAGGAGTCACCAAATCTCCCTTCGATCAGACATGACCTTCCAGGCCGCCAAGAAGAAGACTCTGGCTGAACGGCAGGCCAATGCTCGCAAACATGCGATCAGTCGATCAGGGAATCGGCACAGCCTGGCCTACATAATCCTCATCTCGCAGATGATGATGGTGCAAGCCATGCAGCCTAGCTTCGAGATGGCCCTGGACTTCGCCTTCTCTCCTGAGATGACCCTCACTCTCTTCATCCTATTGATGACCATGGTGGGATGGCACATGTGCGGAAGGGCTACAACGACGACTCCGACGACATTGAGGACAATGACAACGACAGAGACCTAGACGATGACAACAGAGAGTCCAAGCTCTAGCACAAAAGAATGTGGCACCCAGGCGGAGACTGCCCTCGAAAAGAATGTGTTTGGCCTCCTCAAGATGGAGATCACACGATTTCAACAAGACCTACGAGATTCAGATGCCTACAACGCCCAGCTCAAAGACCAGCTCGACGCGCTGGAGGGCGAGAACAACGAATTGGAGAAAGAAATGGACGCCCTCACCCTGATGCGGGACTACCTGTCCGGTGACATCGGGAAGCTCGACGGCAAATACAAAGATGTAAGAATCAAATGGCAAATTGCCTATGACAAGCTGGAAGCCATCAAGTACGAGCTTGATCGCAACCCAGTGCCGAGGTCAGTGTGGACTACAAGAACAGGCAACAAGTACCACATGGGCCGATGAATGAAGCAAGTACCACATGGGCCGATGAATGAAGCAATATAATTACTGCGCCCAGCAAGAGATGATGAAGTGGCGAGAATTCTGACGAGCTTCTTGGCCACAACCACCGGTGTGAATTGGGTACCACCCAATGGAAAAAGAACACAGAACAGAGCTTTTGGCATAAGCGGTTTCCATATATGCCGCCCGCTGTTCGTTATTTCACTAACTTGGTCCACAAGGGCCCCTTAAGCATTCACGCTCGCTAAGCAAAAGAATCGCATGCAACTTACTTGTTTCCACATTAACACCTCGAGCGATCACACGTAATAGGTATTCACTCCATACCTTTACATAGATATTATTAAATCCCATATTCAAAAATCAAAATTCCAAATAATCACTATAATCGAAAATTATAAACAAAATTCGATTCGAATTACCTCCATAAAAATACATCACAACAAATAAATATTCTAGTAAAAAAATTAATTTCAAATCATTCATATCGACTAATAATCATCATCAGACAGAAAACCAACACCAAAATTAAACAAAACGGCCTAATAATAATCTTCCATTAACACATATCCAATATACATAATTCCGATTAATATCCTATATTAATAAATATAAAATACATTCAAAACACCTTTAATATTTACAAAAAATAAATCAACCTATAACAATTTAAAATTTTAATTTCTAATTCAAAATCATATATATATATATTTCTTTAGACCATATTCTCATTATATCTTATACTATATAAATTAAAGAATTATTTATATATATTTATCTATAATATAATATATATTTAATATTTTTAAAATTATATATATAACTAAAAATAATATATATATATATATATAATTTTCATATTAATAAATCAATGTTATATTGAATGCATATATTTAATATATATATATCTAAACATTGTTTTTGCTAATTTATAATATTATATATAATTTTTTGATTTAAATCGATCGAATTTTCTTTGCCACCTCCAAATGTTCTGAGGAGTTCGAGGGATATTTCGGTGATATACGTATTCTTATCATATATCCTACGATCGTATGTATATGCAATATTTCATTTGATAGCAATTCAAGAGTTAAAAACCCACAATGACCTTATTGATGTCCTCTCTGGGATTGGCATAATGAGGGCTTCCATCACGTTATGGATGGCATGGTTCGAAATCAACAACAGGTTGGTTTTGTTTTTGTGGAACATTCTGGAACACTCCCCCAAACAAGCAATTTAAAGAATGCTAAAGACACCGAACAAAAGAGGACAATGACGACTACATCAGCGTCGGTACAAACTAGTCGTCTTCAGACATTCTTTTTGGAACCATCTTTTGACCGCGGCACTGCCACATAGGGTAAATACCGTAAACGTTCCCGTCCCAAAAGGAGTTGAGCAAGGGAACTGCTTTGTGGCCAATCTGCAAGCTTTTACCTGTTCAAAGTGGCTAACCCTGGTGGCTGATGTTGACTCAAGAGTCAAATTCCCTTTTGTAAAAGGAACCGTTAATGAAAGCTCATGGAACATTGAGCATTCTGCACCAGGACCTTCGGACACTCCGCTCATCGACCGTCCACCGGCGGGTAGGCCGGACCGCGCCTCCGGACTGGCGCGTTCCAGTAAGCTGCGACGACCTGGAGAGGTTGCACCGACAGGTCTCACCGCTTCACATGTGGCGGAAGAGGACGCGGGGTCGTTTCAAGAGGATGTGGTGAAGACCGGTCTGAGTGCATAGGTCGGTCGCTATTTTGGGGTAGGTTGTTTTTCTAGTTTTGGTGCGACGATCTGACTTGGGACCCTGGCAGGTCTATATTTGGCGGGGACTCCCTATGGAGACGAGAGGTGGGATATCTAAAAAGAGTGCGACTTGTGGGTTGAAAAAACGAGAGGTTAGATATGGTTAGATGCTGTTGATTGAGATGATCACAGGATGCACTTTGTTGGTGGAGTTAACGGAGGTGCATAGAAGCATTAGAGCCAGGGTCGGTTTGTTGCCTCTTCTTTCAGGGAAAGTGTTTCTTTCACTGTCTGGATGGTTCCATCTGCCAAGGCACCATGCCCGGCGTCGGGATCCGCGCCCAGCGAGAGCAAGGTCAAAGCTGCCCCGGTGCAGCCTGCAAGTATTGTGGGAGGAGCTAGTTGGTCCAAGGAGCCAGGGCCTTTGGTAGAATCAAGTGAAAAGTTATATATATATATTATAAGACATACACAATTCAAACCAATAGTAGGCTATAAATACCACATCTATCGATATGCCTATCTAGCAATCTATCTAAGTATCTGTGCGTCAACATCTATATATACATAAAGTACAACGCCACTAATGCCTGCTCAAGGAATTTCACGGCGTTCAATGTTCACATCCACTGCTCAATGCAACCGACACCAATGAATCGGGGTGATCGTCGTTGGTACTACACCAAAGATACTGAACCACAATTTCAGCAAATATCGTTTGCTGAGTACGGGGCATTTTCCGCGATGCGATCTAATATAAATTGTGGACTTGCCGTGAAAACCTCATCGCGGATTCTTAGAGTCCCTAAAGGCTATATAAATTTAAATGACTAAATGACTAATGACCTGACCAAGAAAATAACAACTGCAAACACGGCCTCCCGGTTGACGAGTTCATCTCTTTCCAACTTTTTAACTGTTCGCATGATTCTACAAGAAGAGGCATGTAAGCCTCTTCTACTCAATGTCTTTTGATCTGCCCATTATCCATCCGCTGCTTTGTACATCTATCGACAATCTAGCTACTATTCCACATGGATGCCACCATCCCAGGTCCCCAGTCGCCTGCCGATACGGCGCGGTCCAGGGCCTTAAGCGATGGAACACATCATTAGAACTTCATAGTGGTGAATCCCATTGGTTTCGCATCCATTAGTTCTACAAGGTAGTAGTTTTCCCAAAGAACCCCAACACGTTGTTTCCATCCTTGCAGCAGCCACATCGCTTGGTGGAACCACCCCGGTTTTGGGTCGACGTTGGTCATGGGGGGAATGGTCCTCCCGAAGAAAATCGTTCCATTTCGATTCTTGGACGTCATATGACTTGATCGAGGTCTTTTTGGATGCTGGGATCAACTGACTGGTACCGTAGGACTGGAGGGTTCCACGATAGAGTCTTTGTACTGAAAGATGTCTTTGTCAGTAGCACCCCCCCCAAACCTGAGGAGGATCGTCAAAACTGGGCGGGCTTTACTCAGGGGTGCTCGTTCACAAATGGCAGAATGTGGTGACTAGCAATTAACCAAGATGGTGCAAAATTCTGCAACACCCTTGCTGATTGCAGTTTACAGAAGGTTGGTCTTCAAGCAGTCTTACCCGAAAGGTAACGGAAGGTTTAGTTGGCTTGTACATAGATAGATATACCGAGGCTTCTCACCTTCAAGGTCCATCTGAGGTCAACGAAAGGGGTGCTAGTGACAAAGACATCTTTCAGTACAAAGACTCTATCGTGGAACCCTCCAGCCCTACGGTACCAGTCACGTCCCCCAGAAGTAGCGGAACATGAGGCCACCGTGATACGTTCATGTAGATGAGATTAAGCCATCGCAATCATGATCGGCTGGCTTTCATTAGTCCAAAATGTGCTCTGATTGGATTGAGAATGTGACTATTCACACAAAAATCCCTGCTTGGACCATGTCAACTATCCCCAAACATCCTCAAAACCACTGAGACTGCCCGCCGTGCTGCCATAGCGAGGATCTGGCGCATTGGGGTCCTCAGGGGTGGCACGTGAGGTCCTCTACTCCGCGTCGACCAACTGGAAAACAGCACCGAATCCCAATCCTGGAATTCAATCACTGGAAACAGAATGAACAAACAGAATGAACAAATCGGAACAAACAGAATTCGAATACACATTCTCATTTGAACAAACAAACAAACAGGGATTTACTTTATCTTATGGTTGAAGACGGCCAGGTTCCGAAGTTGCAGAGAGATCCGAACAAAGGCGGGAACAAAAGGATCTGACTGCTGGAAGGCTTGAACATTGGACTCAGTGATGTTAGTGGATCTCGTTCTGGATGCTCTGCGGTAGACGGGAATGGTGGGATGTGCATGGACGGCTTGGATGCCCGATCAATGGCTGCCATGGCTTTGGCCCCTAACACTGCTGTACTCTTGTAACTGTTGGAGTTTGCCCTTCAAGTGGGATGAACCAAACCTTTTTTTGGCCAATAGTCGGGTTGCTTAGTGTCTAGTCCAATGGTAATTGTTGGGCAAACAAAGCAGTCGGTCCGCAGTGACCAAACACTTTCTGCATTGGAACAGCTGTCAAGGAGGCCTTCAGGTAGTTTCAAACAGGTTGATGAACACCTACTTGCTTGCTCCAAGTTGCGCGCTTCTTGAAACCAAAAACTGCCGGGGAACGGGAAAACACAGCTTTTGAACAGGTTTGAATGGGGCAACCACTGGAATCATTTCTAATTTTGGGGAAAAACAACATCTAGAAACAAAGGCATCATCATACAAACAAAAAGGCAAAACTGCCTAAGGCCATTCAACCCATTGATCCTGTCGAATTCCAACTGCCAAGGGAAGCTTCTGCGTTGATCTCCACCAGGCGTTCAATCAAAGGCACTTGGCACCTGCACAGGAGAACCAGCCTCTGGAATTGGCCCAGTAAGAGCAACAACTAAGCTGCCAGAATTACAACACCAACCATGTATTATGAATTCTCTGTATCACAACGATTTACAGGTCTCGCATGGTCTCGCCTTTTTTGAGACCATTGCGACAAATACAAGCCACGGTGGAACTTCCTACCTAGAGCATTCTAGCGCTTTTCTATCCAGATCGCGGTGTCCCCTATCTTTCTCCACAGCCTGGTACTTTCCAACAAGCTCCTGCTTTTATTACTCTACGAGTACCATGTAAGGAGTCGGTTAATGCTAAGTTCCCAGCCAAACTGACCAACAATAAAAGGATCACATCGCGATGCGCACAGCAAGTGTGACTTTTGAATCTTATGTGTGCTGGTTCGTCCTATGCACAGCCCCGTGTATTAAATCACTGGCGCTGAACTCGAGCTGGAGATTTGTCAAACGCTGCGTTTTGGTTTTGGTTTTGGCACTGATGTTAGGTAGAGGGCATGTGCAAAATTTGCCCTCACGTTTGAGAAAACACCATGTAGCTATACTCAAGGAAATGTGGAAGACTTGCGTGGCAAGAGACATCAATCATGCACAAAGTCAATAGCAATGGGCAGGTTGGCCTCCAACGAATGTACAAATGCAATGGTCTGTGAGTGTTGACCCAGTGCAGCAAGACTTTGTCAACTTAATGTGGTCAGCTTCGGTAAGGTAACCAGTGGATGTGCTCGGCCAAGAACACCTGTGCTTTTCATGGTCAACATGGTGAGATTCTGATCTTGTCCATTCACTCGAACCCAGAAGGCGCCCAACCCACTCGAAGTCCCCAAAACGCCCAACGAGATCCGGCTGTCGAGATCACTGGCGCCTACTAGCGGCTGTGCGCAGCAAGGGATTGGCGTTCAACCGGGACTTCCTGGTGCAAAGATCCATGCGCGGTCGCTGGTAACACCACGAAAAAGGAAGAAACAACGCACCTGGAGTGCCTGGAGACTGGTGGTTGATCTGGGCGCCATTGATTTTGAAGCTTGACAAGTCCTGGTTGACCGAGCACAAAGTAGCACTGGCCCCAGAAAGTGGTCTCATTGTTTCATTGGAAACAGACTCTCTTGTCTCCCAACCTACCCAAAGATATCCAACAGTTCCTGCCTTCCGTTGGAGTTTTTGATGCCCTCGTCCAGCAGCCACACTGCGGCCCGGGCGTCCGGATTCTCCTAGCAGCCCGGATTCACTTGTGGCGATGCCATGCGATGCCTATGGCGTTGTTCAGAAAAACATGATCCACATTATGTAACGCATGTGGTTCCAAGAAAAAGCCAAGCGACTGCTTTGAACCAACAAAAGGGATCTATATACTGTAAGTAAGTCTAAGCTTGTTCCGGTGCAGTTTCCCCGTCCCCCACTCGTGGCGTTCGTTCAACGCCTCCACCGCAGTCTCCAAGGCTGCATCCAAAGGCCTTCGAGCAAAGGCCGCGTCCAAAACACTGGCCTGGCGAGACACGGAAAGAACAGTGAAAACACGGGCCATGGTCATGAGTGCAGCCTACTCCCTATAATTAGTGATACCAGTATGCATGATAGAGATGCAACTGCAAATGCAACGGTTCTTTTCCCTTGGTGGTTCTCGGCTAGGCTTTGTAACACAGAAAAAGACACATGGATAATATCCAGCAACCAATCCCCAATCAACTCTGGAGTCTTGAGTCCGGATCCGGTTCCGGTTCCACCGGATGGACATGGGTCTAGCCGTCGGTCCGTGCCTGATCCCAGTTCAAGGGCACCTGTTGACGCTCTAAGCCCTCGCAGAGGTGTTCCAGCAGCCGAGGTCGAAAGCCAAGCCTCGAGGGTTAGGTTTTAGGAGATTGGGTTCATGGTGGGGCAATATGATGCAAGATTCCATTACAAGTTTTGGGAAACACACAAGGAATCACAAGTGTTTGGGACAACAGGTTTTCAAGTTTCTTGAAACAGTTTTGATCAACTTCTCCACTCTTGAAGAACGAAGATATCAAAAGCCCAATGGAGGGGAAACGGGTGAGTTGGGGAACCATGACTGTGCCTAGGGCAGTTGGCTTTTCTATTCAAAATAATTATATACGGTGTCATTGGCATATTCAATTATATATATATATATCTGGTGTCACTGATGCAAGTTGTAATTGTAGTCAATGACTTTCCTGACTTTTGCCTGCTGACTGGACGCCACCTTTTTAGGGAAGACAATCAAGACTCCAGGGCCAACTGAGCAATGGCAAGTCACCAAACCGAGTCAACTCCAATGTCTATTTGCCCAGTAACACGTTGGATGGCGGGTTCTGAAAACACTTTGTCTGATGAAGAGCTGGCTGCTCAGTCACGCCATGTGAGTCCAACTCATTGACCCTCTGCAATGCTCAGTTGTTTTGGCTGCTCATGGTAGCTGTCTTGGTGGACCCTAGATACAAAGGGGACGGCGCGCGCACGTATACAAACTCAACCACAAATGCGTGATGTGCAATTCAGTGCCAACAGAACAACACCTCCATACAACAAAACAAGTGCTTTTTCTTGGCCTCAATGCAACCGTCTCATTACGTGCCCCAGAAGGCACTTGGGTTCATCAGAAGGACACGTGTTCCGGTTTGTTGGAGAGGCTAACGGATCTCCAACACCTCAGTGTGGGCAACTAGCTGTCTCCATCCAATGGGACAAAGCACAGCGGCTCAAATGGCCAAAGATGACCCAAAACCATGTTCAAAAGGTCAAACGCCAATGGATCTGAACCTCTTGGACCTTTTCTATCAACCTCATCAACCTTTTCACTGCCGAGTTGTTTTATGCCACCTCCTTGACCACCCCCCTGCCTGGCGGCTTCCTGCAAGAGTTGTGCCAGCTGCACTTTGGAGAGCCTCCATCGTTGGATCTCTGTTTGATCCCCGGTCAGGTGACCTTCGGTGAAGCCATGACCAGTGCTCGAACATCGATGGACCCTATCACTCGAAGCCAACGACCCACCGACGATGAGTTCCTTTCACCGGTGGGACGAACGTGGCGGTGTTCTGACGGCTTTCACTACACGAAGCGTGTATCAAGTGCAAAGAAAACTCTCAAGCGAGCTGGATCAACCCCGATCAACCATTCCTTTAGGCCCCAATTTCTGCGCAAAAACACAGCAGAAACACATCATTAGGTCTACTCAAGCTGAAGTTTACTGAGTAATTATATAGGTGGTAGAACCCCGTAGCTGACCTAGTCGTAGTCCTCAACAGCTAGACTTGGGGATCCCGTCCTCGGACCTGTGCAAAGGCGTCTCGCTCCGCTATGCTCGCGATCGAGTTCTCAATCCGCTTTTCGCGCCTCTTGCTTTGGAGCTCTTGCAGCACCATGCGCTCCTAGCAACCAAGAAAAATCATTTTTCATGGATCAGAGCGGGCGGCTACCGAGCTGTCAATATCCGAGCTAACTGGATGGGGGAGAGCTGAGGCACTTCAGGAATACATTGACATTATGACCATAGAAAATCATAGAACCATATAGAAACAAATCTAAACATATTAATATATCTAAACAAGTTACAATCGGTAACTATATCTGGTTTACCGCTTTCATGTGAACACTCTGTCTACTGATTGCCCTATAGCTTGTCTTGTGAGTTTGTGCTACGGCAGGAGGTTCGATGGACCAACATGGAACAACTGCAACCGGCAAAAATCGGATACTGATTGAGTTGTCAGCCCAACAGTGAAACTCGCTAAGGGCCCCCCCCCAAGATCGCAACAATCTGTAACAATCATTCTTGGCTCGGATCCTGGGTGGGGAAGCAACAGTATGTATTGAACAAATGGCTAATCCTTCAACGCTTGCTGCCATGTCACGAGCATGATTACCGCAGTGAACAGCAACCATTGGCTTCCCACATTCCAAACAGTGGAACTTGGATAGATAGATGGTCCCATACGCTCAAATATTCTTGAGATTGACAGCCTGTCTCATGTGACCTTTCTGATCTACAGAAACGCGTCCCTCCAAAAAAACGGTGGAATCACTGAAATCACCGCGCAGCACGCTGAACGCGCGGTCCGCGCTCCGAGATCTTTGGGAGCCGCTGTCGGAGCTGCTCAAAGTCGGCCTGGGAGCCGCTGCGTCCGTTGGCTCCACATGTTTGGTTGACGCAGTCTGAACCCTCAAACTGCAAGACTGGGGTGCAAAAAACAACCAGGCAAGCACAGCATTGAACAAAAGGAGAACAACACAAGCATCCCCTTGAAACTGAATCAAAACTGAACCACTCGAAAGCACCACAAATCTATTTATACCCTTGTATACCGAACATCAGATGTCAAGCAGAAACCACTACAAAATAGCCGTCTGTGACCCTCCGTGACCCAAAGTCCCCACCGGACCAGTCACCAAAGTCCCTAGGCACCTCAGACAGGTCCGTTGGGACCTCCTCCCGAGCGACGCTCGTGGTCGGGAGCTGGGCTCGCACCTGGCAGGGTGGAACGAGTTTGGTCGAGTTCGTTGGATGTGCATAGTAGGTCCTATCCATGTAAACCACCACAATGTATACTTGTAATATCCATTGTAAGTATGATAGTAAATCACCCTGTAGTGTTTTACCTTTTAGATAAAGAGGGATGGTTCTCACAGCGCTTTCGAGTCGGGGGCTTTGGGTGGGCTGAGAGTGGGTGGACGATGGGTCACTAATCGATTTGCAAATGTGATTGAGACAAATATGTCACAAAAGGTCAAATCTGATACATGATAGAGTGGACTATAATAAATATGTAAGTATAGTATGCAACTATAATACATGAATGCGTTATATATAGTTGCACGTGATTGCCAACACAGAGACAGAGTGGACTCGGAATACTTAGATACAGGTAAATGGCAAAAGGTGCTCAGGTCTTTGCTTTTGTGCACATGACCTACATCCTCAGGAAGTTTCGACCAACATCCTCAGAAAGTTGGTCGAAACAGTACAAAAAGTGCCTGGCACCGAATATTGAGGGATCTCGTCCCCACAAGGAAACTCCCTAGACTATGAGTTTCTCTTGAAGCCGTCTCCTCCAAATCACTGCTTACAAACAAATGTTTCAACCCGCATCCCCATGTGAAGTGCATGAGATTTCAGGCGGCAAGAATATATTATACTCAACTCTCTGCCGGCCGCAGGGCGACATCATTTCTTGAGAATCACAAAAGTAATGGGAGTTGTACCTTCCTTGCGAACAAAACACAAGACATGCTCCTCTCATGTTTAACCAAACCTCTCTTCAACTCACATCCAACAAACCATGAACAACTCACATCAGCAACCAGTTGGCATATCCTCCCTCTCGTTACTTTGACTTCGTTCATTCCTTGACCCAGCCTCCGGCCCCGCGCGGGCCAAGATGTATCCCACCTCAGCGTTGGCCGGACGTCGATGCGAAGAGACTCCGGTCCAGCACTCGGCCGAGTGGAACATCGACGTCCGGGAGACGGTCCGGGAGAGCGGTGATCCTTTTCCAGTTGAAGCCATATAATATATACATGATTATACATGCATATATAACTACATGTATATTGCATTATTTGTATAAATGATGCTTAAATCCATAGCCATGAATGACTAGGACAAAAGCCGGGTGTTTTGGTCTTGAATTTGCGGATGTGGCGTCGCGCTCCTCACGACCCATCCACTGTTTTAGCGGGGATTTCGAGCACAAAAAAACGACAACACCCTGGCAATTACGCGGATAAACCGCTCAAGACTGGGTGTTTTGTTGATAACATGGTAACTCTTGCAAGTACCTTGACCTTTGCACACTGCCAACGTCACCTCAGCTGGCTCAAGTCAGATGGGGACTTTCAGCAATGCTGATCTTGTTTGGGGTAACTTCTTTGGAGCGACAACGAGCCAGCTGGGATTGACTCTTCAAGTCGGATTTGGGATGTGAGAGCACGTGGGTCAATTGCTGTGGCGATTACCCAAGACAAAACACAAAACACACATGTCACATGAACAAACCACCTCATGCGATTATCCAGTGTGTTTGCAACCAACACAACAATAAAAACAACATGTGAGAATGTGGGATATGCAAGAATAAAAACGGATCAAACATTGTGACTCCCATGTTTTTGTTGGCCGCCTTTGGTCAAAAAAGTGCTGAATTTATTGATCCCTTCTAAAGAAACTTGATCTTGAGAAATGGATGTTGCAAGCGCAAACCAAACAGCCCTTGCGTGAAGACAGTGCAGTGCAGTTGAGCCCCCCCAAACGTGAACTCAAAGAAGCATCCAACTTGATCAATCAACACTTCCAGCCCTGCAAAAATCCTAGGCCCATAGACCCCAACTCTTCCGAGTGATGCTCCTCGCAGCTGTCCTTCGCCATTCTTCGCATCGCTCGGTTGTGGACAAGTGGCCCCTCGTCCTGCAAAGGGATCAGCGCCCAACTGAAGGAGTTTCAAGGCGGTCTGCTCCTGAAACTTGAAGCCAACTCAACAAGTCGGAACGACTCATGGCATGACCGGTCATGCGGTTGTGACCAAGGTCTTCGCCCACGTTCCGCCATTTGGCTTTTTCCCGAGTGCATAGCAAAGGGTTCTCGTTTAACTCTGGGGTCTGGGGGTAGAGCCTTGTTCGCGACGCGTTGTTTCTGCTTCCGCAACCGTCCGCCACCGTTCGCAGTAGGGCGCTGAGGCGCTGCCATTGGGGAAGCTTTTGGAGAGGGTTTCGGACGCAAACGTGACATGTCAGATTCGTGTGAAATAGCGTGGAAACGTGTGGAAATGTAAGATGTTGAAGTATGGAGGATGATTTCACTGCCCAGGCAGCGTTTTGTGAGATCCGCAGTTTTCAAGGATGTTTTTGGGGTGTTGAATGTGGCATTTGCGTTTCAGGATGTCGCATCGAAGCTCTGTTTTCGTGACAAGTCTCAGCTGAAATGGCAATTTTGGTGGATGGGAGTGTGCTCAGAACGGGTCGAAATCATTCCAGCGTGTGGTGTGGTGCAAATTTTGTTGAAGCTCACATGAAAAGATATTGTAACTTTTCGTGGCAGGCGCAGTTCTTTGTGCGGGTTTTGAGGTGCGGACGTGCAAGTTTCGTGGCAGGCGCAGGGAATCGTGAGGTTGCGAGGTGTGACGGAGGTGACATTTCGTGGCAGGCGCAGTACTTTGTGCGCGTTAGACGCGTGGACGCGGAAAGATTCGCGGCAGGCGCAGGGAATCATGAGGTCGTGAGTTGCGGTAGAGGTGAGTGTCGCTGTGACATTGGGATTGGCGTGTGAGCGGGTGTTGTTTGGAGGGGCTGGAATCGCGAAACTGCTGGCAGGGCTGCGTGATGTGTGTGCTCCGATGGGTGTTTCCGCTTGACTTTGGGAGGAAGTCTCGTTTTGCAGACTTTCATGTGACGTGAGTTTTTGAGGAAGTCTCGTGCGAAACGCTCGTTTTGTAGACTTGGCGTGTGACTTATGAGGAAATCTCATGCGAAACCCTCGTTTTGGAGACTTGACGTGTGACTTTTGGAGGGGGGGTCTCCTACGAAACGCTTGTTTTGGAGACTTGACGCGTGACTTTTGGAGGAAATCTCGTACGAAACGCTTGTTTTGGAGACTTGACGCGTGACTTTTGGAGGAAGTCTCGTACGAAACGCTCGTCTTGCAGGCTCGAAGCATGACTTTTGGAGGAAGTCTCCTACGAAACGCTCGTTTTGGAGACTGTACGCATGACTTTTGGAGGACGTTTCATACGAAACGCTTGTAGTGTATGGGCAGACCATGTGGCGAAATTACGTTCGCGACGTCGCAGTGCCATTGGGAGTTGCGCGGCCTTGGTGGGAAGTGCGTTTGCGTGGCGCCGTGCCACTGGGGAGCGCGAAACATGCTGGTGTAAACGCGGCGTGTCGCTGGTGAGCGGGATGATTGGCGGTATCACGTGATAGGTTTTTGCTTCTAGTGTATGGGCAGACCGTGTGGCGAAATTACGTTCGTGATGTCGCAGTGCCATTGGGATTTGCGCGGCCTTGGTGGGAAGTGTGTTTGCGTGGCGCCGTGCCACTGAGGAGCGCGAAACATGCGGATGATTGGTGGAATCGTGTGATATGTTTGCTTCTAGTGTGTGGACAGACCGTGTGGCGAAATTACGTTCTTGATGTCGCCGTGCCATTAGGATTTGCGCGGCCTGGGTGGGAAGTGTGTGTGCGTGGCGCCGCGCCACTGGGGAGCGCGAAACATGGTGGTGTAAATGCGGCGTGTCGCTGGTGAGCGGGATGATTGGCGGTATCATGTGATATGCTTCCAGTGTATGGGCAGACCGTGCGGCGAAATTACGTTCGTGATGTTGCAGTGCCATTGGGATTTGCGCGGCCTGGGTGGGAAGTGCGTTTGCGTGGC